GCTAGTAGGAAAAAAGGGTATCGCTACTAGGCGGAAGGACGCTACTACCGTCTAAAGGTGTGACGCTTGCATATCTTTGGCTCGTAAGTATCAAGTCTAACATCTTCATCCGTAGTACTCTGTGTTTTAATCTTCTGTGCTCAACAACTCTTTCACATCGACACGTTGCGAGCGAGGACAGCAGACGTCAGGAAAGCAAGACAGATGAAGAGCAGTTCCAGCTACTGCTCTTACTGTTGCCATGTGCCGTGTCTGTTCCCAGTGCCTTTCCAGTGCCTTTTCACGGTTTGTGTGCGCCTGCCAGTGATTTTGCCATGTGATTCACTTTTTTTAAAAAAGAGATAGCTTATCGTTTTGTTTCAACAAAACTTACCAGAAACACATTTTTGCTGGCAGGGCCACGAGAAAGTGCAAAAGGCACTGGAAAAGGCACTGGAAAGGGACTGGGAACAGACACGGCGCATGGCAACAGTAAGAACAGTAGCTGGAACTGCCCGGCATCACTTGAAAACAACACACGCATGTGCGTCTGTAGGTCTCCGGTCGCCCACACCCAGTGTAGATGGACGAAATATTCAAAACCTTTCAACCACGAGGACCCCTTCTACCCCAAAGCTCAATGTTAGAGGTCTTGCAAGAATGTTTCGGCGAATGGACGAAACAAATCAAACCCTGGACACACAAATTCAATCAAGTTATGTTCAACATTGACCTTTGGGGGTCAGGGGTTGGCGACAGTTATTGATACATGGGTTTGAATATTTTGTCCATCTACTGTAGTTGCTCCTGGCCAAACTACTAGGAACAAGAAGCTACTAGGAGCAAAGGGCTGCTTGGGTACTCCGGCTTGAGAGACTGGAGCATTGTGAAGCAGGCATACTTCTGTGCTTTGTTTGGGGCTTGGCGCGACATCTCCATCCGGAAGCGGCTCGGGGCTTTGGCGGTACAAGGAAGCCACTTTAATCTGGACTGCTTTAACATTATTTAGTAATATTTCATATGCTTTCTCAAGCTTTCATTCGATGTTGACGTTTGGCCCTTAAGCCTGATTTGGCTTACTGAGTCTAGATGTTGATAAGGGAAGATCGGGCAAATCATCTTCAGCGACAGAAAGAGCTCCGAAGACAACATCGGCAGTTGTTCGAATTGGTCTCAGACGAGTATGCTGGGTGTGCTCGAAGAAAAGATTCGATTTTTGGATGTTTCAAACCAATTTGCATATAATGACAATGACAGACTAAAACAAACACACAATGCTGGCCTTGACCAGAAATCAGAGTACGACCACAATGTAGTTTGAGAGTTGCCTACCTCACACTTTCATGTTCCATTCAGAAGGGTCGTTCTCCATTCCCAGGCCGTGGTGGCCATGATGTTGCGGACACGAGGACCGAGTTGTGATTTTGGACCCTTTTTTTTCTTGGGGACATCAAGGAACAGTGGCCCGTTGTGTCATTGGGGGTCAGATTCGGCCACATGGGTACCTGATTAGCCTTGCTCCATTCTCAATCTCAAGCCTCAACTTAGAGGTGTCCGAAACGGATTGCGGGCTTTTCGGGCTGTCTCCTTTCTCCAGTTGTGCCAATGTTTGACACCAATGTAACGTGTGAAGGCCAGATGCTTACAAGGCTTTGCCTGTCAACGTGGCACTTGCAGGGAGCTGATGTGCATGTCCATTCCGAAATTGCAAAGGCTGTAGTTGTAGCAGGAACATTTTTTGTAGCAGAGGGTGAACTCAGGCTGTCAGCCAACAGCCAGGAGGCGTGACTATGACTAGGGCTTGTGTTGAAGTTTTCTTGAAACATCTCTTGAAACGACTACGCTTGAGCACAGATGAATGTGTCACCATGTGCAAGGAAGGATTGGCTGCTTCATTCATGGTCTAAATTTTCTGCCCGGTGGCATTCTGGCTACAGTCAATTTTGGAATTTAGAAAGACTCGGCCGGTCTACTGTACAGGGCAACCTTTGTCAGCATGGTCAAAGGAGGAAGCGGCAAGGGAAAGAGCACTGCAACTTGGCTGAAACGTAAACTCGCTCATGATTCTTGGAGGCTTTTCCAGTTCTCTCTCTCTCTCTCTCTGTGTCGCTGTGTCGCCTGCTAAAGATATCCTTTCAAGTTGTGATCATCAATCATCAATCCCCCCCAGTCAGTGTGCCGAACTGCACTCTTTGTTGTTCCACCCAGGCCTATAAGCTCCTTGGCAGTAAAGCGGGTGGATCATGGTGGATCGATGGATGTGATGTTGTGACTTAAGCCATTGGGAGAGTGGGCAAGAGACAATCCGACTGCTAAGGGTTTGCAACAATTGTGGCGGAGTTGGGCACATTGCTGGAATGTGTAAAGAAGACAAGCAGTGCCACTGATACTTGCCAGCAAGATTGCTAGCAATGGTGGCAAAGTCTGTAAAGAAAGCCAGACCACATCATCATGTCTGGCGAAGTCTTTTCACATTTCATCAATTGTTGATCATGTCCTGTTTTCGTTCTCTTTTTGAAAAGGCGATCTTAGAGTCGAGATGGACTCATCACTCACTGAGAAGCCTTGGCCTAGGCTGTGGCTCTGTTCAGCATGAGATCTCTGACTGCCCAAAACGGGAAGAGCTCTTCAGTTGCATTCAGCTGTCTTGCATGTCGCACTCCTGTTGTTGCCATTTTACTCCAAGGACATGTGGTTATTGTGGAAAGGTTGGCCACATGAAGCGCCTCAGCAAAGCTTCAGAACTCCTGGGTCATGTTTGAGGATGTCCAGTAAATGACAGCCCGTAAAGAGCACTTCATACCACTGCTTGCATAATCTTGCATACATGCCATGCTGCCTTCGTTCGGCTGTTGAGGAGCAAATGCCGCATGGAGGCTCAGAAGTCCGTGGACAAGACCTGTCCAAAGCTCAGGTTCTCAGCTCCCTTCCGCGTGTAAACAAGTCATCAGTCATCAGCATCAGATCAAAACGGAATGATAGCGGTAGTGAATCTGGTTAGATAAGTCTTCCTGGATTCTTCCGGCGTCCCAGGCAACAATTGTGGCACACTGGGCCACATTGCCAAAGACTGCCCTCAGCCGGCTGAATGCCATTGCTGCGGAGCAGCTAGGAGCAACAGGTGTCTTGTAAGACTTGGTACTGTGACTTGAGACAAGAAGTATATTATATAATATTATATATATATATGTTCTCTCAGTTTGTTGAGATGATGTGAGAGATCGATTCTTTCTTTGTTTTGTACCTGATTCTGGGGGCCAGCAACTGGGCATTGCACAAGGGGCATGGTTTGGTGACCAATCTGGGCCGGGCGGCATTCCTTGATTCTGATGATTTCACTTGCTGAGGCCACGGTCCATGAGATTGCCGAGTGCCCTCATCGAGAAAAGAATTGCGAGAACTGTGGGAAGGCCTGCCAAACTTCAGTTCAACCCAGGCAATAGTGTAGAGCTGTGGGTTAAGATCTTTTATCCAATGACATGCATATAGGACGAATTTTCAAAAAACAATTCACTCCTCAAAACCGGCCCTTCCAAACCCCATAGATAGAATATGGTTGTAGGGGGTTCTCTTCCTTTCCTTTGTTGTCCTTTTCCTTCTCTGTTCGTTCTATTTTCTGTTCGTTCTAAAGAAAAGAAAAAGGAAAGGAAAGCTTAGATAATACACATGGGAACAGAACATGAAAATAACAAAGGAGAAAATACCGGAATGGGAGGAGTTGATAAGAATCTTATCACTATATTCTATCTATAGGGTCAGTCTTCATAAAATGAAAGGGATGTCAAAAACCCTGAGTTGTTTCAGAAGAAAAACGCCCCCCTACGAAAGTAGATTCTATCTACTCCAGGATGATTATATATATATACACATGAAGTGCGTTCAACAAATGCGATGATTACGATTGCCTAAGAGCGTCCGTTCATATGCGGGCATGCTCCAACCCCTGGGAAACGATAGGGGACTCAAAAAAAGCGATACCCTTTAACAAAGTTCACTTTGGAAAACGATAGGGAACTATAGGGAACTCACAAATCTGAGGATGCAACATGCAACAGCCGCACAGAATATGTTTTGATCGTACCTCATATAAATTGTTCATGCAACGGAAAGGAGTGGCATGCCCTTGGCTTGAAGCATTCCGGAGTCAAGAGTGAAAAAACGGCTTCAATTGAACGTGAAGGCCTGAAGGTGCTGCCATTTTTAGTGCATCAAACGGACGAAACTGACAAAGCCGACAAGGTCGGACACTTGAAGAAGAAGTGCCGACAGGTTGGGTCGAACACATGGGAGCAGCCATTTCACAAGGGGGCCATCATATTTCATCTGTGCACAGGACAAAGAAAATGTTCCACCTTTGCGTGGAAGCAAAGGAAGTTCCAAGGGTAAGGCCAGGACAAAGAACTGCCCAGTGATTTTGCTCTAGGATGTTCGATGGACAGTCTTTTCAATTTGACAGGGCAAAGGCAATGCTGCTGGAAAGACCTGCAAGAATTGTGGTCTCGTGTTCGCATCTACTGGCGCATATCATGTCCTTTAGCCACGTGGCTTTCGGGCTGCGGCGTGTAAGGCGAAGTGGGGCATCTTCTACGTGATTGCAGCGAGCCATCACAATGCCATTGCCCCATCCTCAGCTTCGACCTTTGCCCATTTTGTAAAAGGCCTATCTTTCCAATTTAATTTAATTTTCGTTTCAAATAGCTTCTTGTTACTACTAGTAAGGCACTTGTTACTAGAAGCGAT